TTTGACACAGGGTCTCCCTGTAGCCCCAGCTGGCCTGTAACTCTATGTAGACCAGGCTGGCCTCAAACTCACAGAGATCCACCTGCTTCTGCCTCCCAAGTGGTGGGATTAAAGGCATGTGCAACCACGCCCGGCTCTTTTTTACCTTTTTAAAAAACATTTATTTTATGTGTATGAATATTTTGCCTGCATGTATGTAAGTGTACTACATGTGCACAATACCCACAGAGGCCAGAAGAGAGGGTCAGATCCCCTTAGAACTGGAGTTAGGGTTGGTCGTTAGCTGCCACATGGGTGCTGGGAACTGAACTCAGATCCTCAGTGCTCTTTACCAATGAGCCATATCTCCAGCCCCTAGTGATTTTAATTTTTATTTTGTCTGTGTGTGTTTTGCCTGCATGTATATAAACACACCACAGGCATACAATGCTGGTGAAGGCCAGAAGAGAGCATTGCATCCCCAGGAATGGAAGTTATAGGCAGTTGTTAGCTGCCATGTGGGTGCTGGCAACTGAATCCAGGGCAGCGCTCTTAAGCACTGAGCTGTCTCTCCAGCGCCCCCCCACACACCTTTTTGAGAGAGGATCCTACTAAGCTGCCCAGGTTGGTCTTGAATTCACTCTGTACCTCCCTATCTTCCGATCTCAATCTTCCAGGTAGCTGGGCTTACAGGTCCAGCTCTGACCACCATTAACAAATTAATTGGAAACTTAATGCTCAGAAGTTTCTACACCCAGGTGACCAGCAGAATCACACAGGGAGATTTTTTTAGTTATTTTGTTTTTTCACAGTTTTTTTCTTTTGGGGGGGGTCTTTTTGAGACAGGGTCTCCCTTTAGCCACAGCTGTCCTGGAACTCACTATGTAGACCAGACTGGCCTTGAACTCATGGAGATCCACCTGCCTCTGCCTCTCGAGTGCTGGGATTAAAGGTGTGTGCCACCACACCCGGCCCACAGTTTTTTTCTTTTACATATTTTATTATTTTTATTTTATGTGTATGAGTGTATTGCCTGTGTGTTTGTAAGTGCCCCTGTGCTGTACAATGCCTGTAGAGGTCAGAGGAGGGCATTGGATCCCCTGGAACTGGAGTTTGGGCAGTTGTTAGCTGCCATTTGGGTGCTGGAATAAACGTGGGTCCTCCACAAGAGCAGTCAGTGCTCTTAACTGCTGAGCCATCTCTTCGGCCCCTGTTTTCACACTTCGAACCTTGGAACCCAGGGCCTCACATTTGAGGTGAGTGTTCCACCAATGAGCTATACCCTAGCCCCACTTGGGGATTTTTAAAGAAACAAATCCCCAAGCTCCATCTTCAATGTTTCTGAAGTGGTCTGTCAGAGCTGACCCCCAGAATGCTTATTGGTTTTTAAGTCCTGGTGTTATTGAATCCATTCTAGCTCTTAATGAACTCCACTGCTCTTTCTAAACACCCTCAGACAAGTGCTTTCAGAAGTCTGTGCTTCTGTGGTTGTTTTCTTTAACATCCATCCTTTTTTTTTCTTTTTTTGACAGGGTATCATTGTATAGCCCTGGCTGGCCTAGAATTCTCTATATAGACCAGGTTGGCTTCGAACTCGCAAAGATCTGGTTGCCCTGGCTCCTGAGTGCTTGAGACTAAAGGCACATACCACCACCCTGCTGAGACATTCTCTTTGGGTGAACTGGGACATGGCACTTTTCATCATCACCTCTGGCCCTGAGCAACGGTGAGGAGTGGGGAGCCAACAGGAGTCCCTCCTTAGAGGCATTTCATGCTCTAGCTGTCCATGCTACTACCATCCTTCCATGCTAACACTGCTCCTTGGTTCTGAAGGTTCCAGAACACAAGGCAGAATGGGAAGGGTGTGGGCTGTGTACTCTGAGAGTTCACCTCGGGGCAGGGATGAGGGCCCATCAGGGGAGACATTCCCCTCAGGTACAGTGATGAGGGAATCAAAAAGCTTGAGAAGAGCATCTTAATATGGTATTTTTAAAAAATATTTCATTTATTATTTTATGTGTATGAGTGTATTGCCTGCATGTAAGTGAGCGCACCTGTGTCGTGCAATGCCGCAGAGGTCAGAAGAGGGTTTCAGAATCCCCTGGAACTGGAGTTAAGGATGGTTCACAGCCACCATGTGGATGCTAGGAATCAAACCCGGGTCCTGTGCAAGAGCAGTCAGTGCTCTTAACCACTGAGCCATCTCTCCAGCCCCTTAATATGATATTTATAAAATCAAAATTCGTGCCAAATGCTAGTGATATTTTGATGAACAAAATCTCAAAATGTTAAAGGAAGACAGGCTCAGTCACGGTGCCAAACCATTTCAGAGCCTGAGGTAAGAGAAAAACTCAGTAACAGAGATGATTCAGAAGGTAGAAAATAAAAATTTCAAAATTTATGAAGTACCCTTAGAGAGAAAAGATGCTTCATCCATGACATGGAGAGGAAGGAGGCTTTTCAAAAAAATACACAATAAAGTGCTTTTAGATATGAGAAATATAGTCAGTTGTGGTAGCTACACTTTGAGGCTAGCCTGGCCTACATAGTGAATTCCAAGCCAGCCTGGACAGTCACTATGATTTCTGAAGTCTGAGATCAAAGGGAACCCCCTGAAAGCTTCCAGAAGTATATGCCAAAACTAGAAGTTAGAATTGACACTAAACTTCATTTTTTTTCTATTTTGAGACCAGATCTTGCTATGTAGCCCAGGCTGGCCTCAAAATCTCAGCAATCTTTCTGCCTCAGGCTCCTAAATGCTGGGATTACAGGTGTGAGCCACCATGCCACGGTTATACCAAATCTCTTTATGGGCTAGGACAGAGGTGTGTGTGTTGAGATGGGGAAGGGGAAATCTCGATCTATAGCCCAGGCTGGCCCTGAATTCTTAGGCCATCTTCCTGTCTCAGGCTCCCAAGTATGGGATTACAGAGTGTGCTACCGTGCCCTCTTGTTATAGCAGAGCTCTTCATGGTGACATTGGAAGACAATGGTGAGATGCCTTCAAGCTTTTTAATTTCCAAATCTACATTCAGTAAAGCCATCAGTGAAAGGACAGGACAGAACAAAGGCATGTTCAAACCTGCAGGTTCTCAGGAAAGTCTCTCCTTCAAGGTAGCCTCTCTCAGGAAGCTAAACTGCCTCAGAGTCAAGCAGGAGAGTAAAGACACCAGGTAAAGGGACCGGGGGCTCCAACAAGAGAGACAGAGGAGGAAGGAGGTGCCTGCTGGCAACTGTGGGGCAACCCACCAAGCTAGGGAAATGTTTTAGTTCTTTTTCTTTAAGTTTATTCTTATCTTTTGGACTTTTGAGATGGGGTCTTATGTATTCCAGGCTGGCCTGGAACTTGCTATGTAGCCAAAGATAGATAACCTTGAGTTTCTGAGTTTCTTACTCCTGTCTCTGAAGTGCTAGGATTACAGGCATGTGCCACCACATCTGGCTGATACAATGCAGGGGATTAAACCCAGAGCTTCATGAATGCTAAGCAAGTATTCTATTAACTGAGCCTCAGCCCCAGCTCCTTTGATGGCAGGTTTGACCACACTGAAAGTTCTATTTGAAGCCAAAGGATGACATATAAGAAAGTATATCTGGGGTAAGTACAGAAAACTAAACTGATGGAGGAAAGGGATCAGGAAGGATCAAAAAAATTATATTACAAGAAGCAGGGCTGGAGAAATGGCTTGGTGGCAAAGATGTTTGCCACCAAGCTTGATGACCCGAGTTCAATCCCTGGGACCCATCAGGTAGGAGAGAACAAACCCCCATAAACTGTCCTTTGACCTCCACAGGCACACCATGGTACATGCACCCACACACACAAAGTAAATAAATGAATGTGATTAATAATAATAATAATAATAATAATAATAATACAAGAAACAAGATCTTACTTTGCTTGGATCACATGATAAAACATTATAAGGCAGGGAGCATGGACTGAGTAAAAAAGATGGAAGAAAACAGTTCTGGGGGTGAATGTCAACCAAATCATCCACCGAAACAACAGGAGGCAGATAAGGTCCAAAGCCTGCTCATCGAGGGACGCAGATTAATTGGAAAACAAGAACCTAGAGGTACCTGCTGGGGAAGGGGGCAGGAGGCATCAGGGTGCAGGGTGCAGCAGGCTGGTACTTCTGTGTTTGTTCTGTGCTTCTAGAACTATTCTTGGTTTATGTTCCCCAGGCTGGCCCTGAACTCCAGGGTTCTGACCATCCTCCTGCCTCAGCTGTCCACTTAGCTGGAACCACAGATACATGCAGCCACATCCCACTACCTCTAGAACCGTCGGATGTTTGGAAGGCTCTGTGTGCTGAGAAGCGCATCCTCTGTTGCTTCTTCTCTTTTTGTGGTTTTTCTGCATTCTGAGGCTCTACCCTCTGCTCTCTCATACTTATGACAGATACAAGCAGCCCAAAGTAGCAAACCATGAGCATATGGACATAATTTACAAAACTCCTCAGCCACACAGGCAAACACACTCTGACACACACATTCACACATGGACATGGAGGCCCCCTTCAGCTTTCAAGGCAGAGTGCCCCCCCACCCCTATCCCCAATGCCAGCCCCTACCCTGGGATAAAGAAGTTCTGCCTTAACTGCAATTGAGCTGCTCTCTCTATGCAGGCCCCTGCAGGATACCCTGAGGCTACCCAGCAGCCTAGGCCTCAGCAGCTATTAGCCTTTAGGGCCCCACAGTCTGAAGGCAAGGCAGAAATGTTATGGAGTGGGGCCCAAACCGGTAGCTGGGGTGTAACCAATAACGCTACCTTCAGCTTTTTCTTCACTGAGTCATGGAAGAGTCCAGTGTCCAGGCTGTGTATCCTGGAGCATGTCACTTCACCTCTCTGGTCCTGGAGGAGGCAGCCTATAAAACTCTGAGATGCTTTGATTCTATGACGGGGCCTGGGTCTGCTTGCCTTCCCTCCCCTGGGACCCCTATCCATTCTAGTCTCCACAGCTGACACCTGGACTGGCCCCTGCTCCCCTTCCCCTCTACGCTGGTCCAGCACTCACCACCACTCTGGTTCTGTTGTCCGGTAGTGTGTCGATGGCCAGGGAGCCCCCGCCTAGGTCCTGGCTCAGCTGGGTCCTGCCTGGCTCCGATACCTGCCCTGGGCTCGCTCGAGCTTTCCGACTCCAATCTTGCCTGGACCCTTTGGCAGCCCATCTAGAGCCTTGGCTTTCACTGTGACCTGAGAGGAGGGAGAGAATGCTGAGTGCAGGAGGTCCAGGGGAAGGATTCGAGATGGGGTCCAGCCCCCTTATCCTGCACAGGCCTCAATACTATACCATCTTTGGCTCTGAGGACATTGGATGATCAGAAGAGCAGATTCACAACACAGATTTAGAGTCACCTGCCCCAATTCCATGCCAAACAGCTTGCATGTGCAATGCTTAAACCCTTCCATACTCCACAGTGGATACTGTATGTCTGGCAGACTGGAATCAGGCTCAGAGGTTAAAGGTCTGACAGTGGGTTAGATGTAGAGATGAGTCACACTCGGGCTTACCGGCCTCTAAAGGTGAATATTCTGTTTCAGCTCCCACTGTAATCACCTAGACAGCTTTAAAAATTGTAAGGTCAGGGTTCCTCCCTCGGGGCCTGAGGGAGTGGGTCTGAGGTGTGGCTTGGATTTTAGGTGTCTAAAGAGATGTGAGGGGATAGAGGCTGGAGGATCAGGAGTTCAAGGCTGGCCTTAGCAACATAGCAAGTTTAAGACCAGCCTTGCTTTGTCAGACCTGCAAGTGTTGGAAGCTGAGAAATTGAAAGGGCCTGATGTAGGAGAATGCGTATTAGACAAAAGGACAGATTTCCTGGTAGCTTCAGAAAAGACAGAAGAAAGGAAGGGAGCAGTAGAACAGGGAAGTAAGAAAACAAAAACTGTTGGGCATGGTGTGGCACAGGCCTTTGATCCCAGCACTCAGGAAGCAGAGGCAGGCAGATCTCTGTGAAATCAAGGCCAACCTGTCATAGCAAGTTCCAGGCCAACTGGGGCTACAGAGAGACCCTGTCTCCAAAAATCAAATAATAATAATAATAAATTAAATTAAATAAGATAAAAGATCTCAGGGAAAGTCCTCAGCACTCTGCAACAAGGTGAGAGAAGCCATTCTGAGCTATAAACCAGTTCTGTATTTCCCTGCCAGAAACATACACAATCCTTGATCATGGAGCACTCTCAGCTTGGGGTGGCTCAACCACAGTTCTGTTTTAGACTGAACTCTTTTTGTTTGTTTGTTTGTTTGTTTGTTTTGTTTTGTTTTTTTTGAGACAGGATTTCCATGTAGCCCCAGCTGGCCTGGAACTCACCATGTAGACCAGGCTGGCCTTGAACTCACAGAGATCCTCCTGCCTGTGTCTCCTGAGTGTTGCAATTAAAAGCGTGCACCACCAAGCCTGGCTCAGGACTCTTTTTTTTTAAAGATTTATTTTTATTCCTTTAATAATCATGTATATGTTTGTATCTGTATATGTGAGTATATGTGAGTACAGGTACCCACAGAGATCAGAGATGTCAGATCCCTCTGCAGCTGGAGCTGGAGTTGCAAGTGATTGTGAGCTGCCCAATATGGGTGCTAGGAACTGAACCTGGGTCCTCTGAAAGAGCAGCAAGTGCTCTTAATCGGGGAACCATCTTTCCAGCTCCTCCTACCACTTTTTTGAGACAGGGTCTTACTCTGTAGCCCAGGCTGGTCTGGAACTCAAGATCTTGCCTCAGTCTCCTAAATTCTGGGATTACAAGTATGTCATTTCTTTTTTTTTAGGTCTGAGGTTTTTTTTAATTTATTATTTTTATTTTATGTGTATGAGTGTATAGTCTGCATGTATGTGAGTGCACCCATGTCATGCAAAGCTCATGGAGATCAGAAGAGAGTGTCGGGGATCCCCTGGAACTGGAGTTACAGATCTTTGTGAGTTGCCATGTGAGTTGTGAGTGCTCTTAACCGGTAAGCCATCTCTCCAGCCCCATGCTGTTTGCATAGTTTCCTTGGGGAAATAAACATTTAAGTCTTTAGCCCAGTCTAAAAGGTGGCTGTTTTGAGCCTGGATCATTGTGGTGAGGCTCTCCTGTGCTTTGTAAGTTATTTAGTGACATTTCTGCTGTGTATACACTATATATCAGTTACACACACACATACATGCATGCACACATGCACACACACACCAGGCTGTGACAACTGAAAATGTCTCCAAGCATCACCAGATAGTCCCTGGGAAATAAATTGCCCTCCTGCCCGATTGAGAACCACAGTTTTAGTCCTATCACCACCTTCAAACTTTGACCTTGGGCAAATCACTTTCCCCATGTAGCAAGGAGCTTAGGAATCAGCTGGGATGGTTCATCTCAAAGAGCTTTCCATCTCAAACACCATCTCCATCAATTAGCAGCAGCCAGAAGCCTTTTAGCCAGGAATCCCAGGGCTTCATTTGTATCTAGCAGGAGAGATTGTCATGATTGATTAGTAATGTCTGCCATGAGCACAGGATTGGAAAGTGGCCACACATAGGCAGCTGCAACAAGATTCCAGTTCCCTCAGGGCTATTAGACTGATTCTAAATGACACTGAAAAGCATTCTTTTCCATTTAAGAGAGTTAGGGCACTAAAGCAGTGCCTCATATTGTCATCTTAATTGTCATACCTATGCTGAATGTATAAGGGACATAAACTACCCCAACCTGTGATCTTCATCAATTTTGGGTCTTAGGTCACATATCCCTCTCCTTTCCATCTCTGATTCCACCTGGCTCATCAGAGCTTGTAGAGTGGTTCTCACTGTCCTAGACCCCCCCACTGAGGTCACTCTCTGCCCATCTGGGAGACAAGCTCCTCAGGCCTCTCTCCACTTTCCTCAGAGGGCCCAGCAAATAGTAAGTGCTCAATCACTGCATAATTGAGGACACAACACTTGGGGGTAGCTCTTGGGCAGCAGCAAGGACAGGTTGAGAGAAGGCTTGGCTGAGCAGGTTGGGGCCTGGCCAGGACACTGCTGTGGGGCTCTGGTTTGTCATTAGACATTTTATCCAATTAAATCATTCTTGGCTGCTGGCGCCTGCTGGACCCTTGCCAGGCCCCTCTCACTTCTCTGCCCCTAATCACAACCAGATGCTCCTAGAGAACGCGGGCAGAGGGGCAGTCCTGAACTCTTCCCCAGGATGCCTACCGAATGGCCAAGAGCCATCGTTAATCCCATCTACCACTCAACCTAGTCCTCCCAGTCCCATGGCCACCACACCATCCAGGCGACCAGGGCCTCTATCTGGACATTTACTTCAGCCTCTACATGTCCTAAAGCTAGTTTCCCACTCTAGCTAGAGCAAGCCATCTAGAAAACACACCTGAGTCTGTCTCTCATTGTCCAGCTCACCACATCCCTCTAGTTGACCTGAGGGCTTTTGTAGCCAGACCCCTGCCTGCTTTTGCATTCCTCGAGCCCCTCTAGGACCTAGCCCTGTTCAGAAGCCACTGGAGTTTTGTGTCGTTTTCTCAGCCAAGAGCAGTCTGCTCCTAAATAACCCCTTTCTCCAGAAGAGCTCTCATTCATCCTTAAAGTCTCAAAAGATGCCACTGCTTCCCAGAATCTGCTCTGTCTTTCCCCTCACCCAGATGCCAGGTGTACCACATCACATAACCTGGCCTCCTGGAACATCGTGCACCTCAGTACCTGTGCTCTGAGTGCTGGGAGGCAGGTGTCCAAGAAGCACCAGTGAGCAACAGAGGAAGAAGGTAGGCAAGGAGAAGGGAGCAGCCCTCTAAATGCCCAGCACCAAGTCTTATAGACAGAGGAAAGGAGACTCTTCCTTGTGCACAGCCCTGCTGGAGACTAACTCTGTCCTAACACATTGCAAAAGAGCACAGGTTTGCTATCAGAGAAGCTGGAGGCCCAACTATGAACCACTTACCAGCTGTGACGCCACAATTTTTTAAAAATATTTTATTTATTATTTTTATGTGTATGCGTGTATTGCCTGCATGTAGGTAAGAGTGCCCATGTCATGCAATGCCTGAGGAGGACAGAAGAGGCTGATGGATTCCCTGGAACTGGAGTTACAGTTAAATGGGTGTTGGGATTTGAACCCAGGTCTTCTTGTAAGAACAGCTAGTGTCCTTAACTGCTGAGCCATCTCTCCAGCCTCTAAGCCTTAGATTCTAATGAACCAGTTAGATAGGGGTGAGAAATTTTCTACCATTTACTAGGTTGAATCTTTAACAAAACCATGTACATAAAGCACCTAGCAATTCCTCCCACCCCCTGCCACCTGGGCTGGGGATACGGCTCATCTGGTAGAGTGCTTGCCTAAATCTAATCCAAGAAGCCCTGGATTAGATCCCCAGTGTCCCATAAACTGGGGGTGATAGGACACACCTGTAATACCAGCTCTCTGGAGATAGAAGTAGGTCTCTCTGAATGGGACAGTCGTGGGACCCCCTCTGATCCACCTGCTCATTCACTTGATTCATGATTCAATATGATTTGATTTGATATAGCCCAGCCTGGTCTCAAACTCACCACGTAGTCAAGAATGACCTTGATTTTCTGATCCTTCTACCCACACCCTACCAAGTAGCCTTGCTCTCAGTGAGGCCCACCATGCTCAGCTTTTCAATATACTTTTATTAAGCTCTTTCTGCTTGCAAGGTGTGGTACAGGGGTGGTGAAAGTGTGTGTTCCTGAGCCCAGGAACATTCCAGACTCTTCCCAGAGACTCAGCAGTATCTCAGGCTAGGGATATGATTGCTGTCAGGGTCTGCCGTCAGGGTGGTCCTCTCTGAGGAGGGGACCCTGGGGCTGATTGTAAGTCTGAATTTTAGTTCCAGTATGTTGATCTAGTAGGAGGTCCCTGGTGAACAAAGAGGAAACTGGAAGCAGATTATAGCTGGAAGGACTACCAGACATCTTTCCAACCTTCACTTGTAGAGACTATGGCTCAGTGAGCAGGAAGCTGCCAGGGCCCCTGGTGGGTGCTGGGACAGGCTTCCTGAAAGACTCTTGGCTCAGGACCCCAGCAGCCTCTTCTTTCCATGTCTGTCTTGGGTATCTCTGGTTCCCCTGGGGCCAGACCCTCAGTGCCCCTTCCCCCTGAGACCCCAGGGTCATCTTCCTGTCTTGTCATCTGTCTATCTGCTGGCTTCTCCTAATCTCCCTGTCACCAGACTCTCATTTCAGGTCGCCAATGCCTCCTGTTCCCATTCTAATAATGGATGTGGGATGAAGGGACCTCACTGCTTCTAGGGCCCAAAGAGTCATTTTAGCCTGGGCTGGGGCCAGGGCCCTCAGAGCACCTGGAGGTTGCTCTCGATGGCCACCGTCCTCGGAGGGCCTCCACAGAGCCCCAGCACCAAGCTCAGGTGAGCCTGGGAAGAGTCAACAGCTTCTCTATTGGCTTGGGTCTAACCTCAACCTCCCCAGCTGCAGACAGCCCACATCTCAAAGCAGAGAAGGTAGAGTGCTCTCACTTAAAGAGGTGACTCACCTCTCCCTGCACCCCCACCCAACCTCACTGCCTCTCAACTCCCCTTCCCCAGCCCTCTCCATGGCCCAAACCACTCATCAAATGGCCACTTCTGAATTCAGAAAATCACATCGGGCTGAGGCTGAAAAAGACTCAGAAATTAACTTGTCCAGTCTCTTCCTATTTATAATTAAAAAAAAAATCAGTTGTCAGTACACATCTGAGAAGGAAAGAACGTAAGAAAGAAAAAAAGATCTTTCACAATTACCCCAACCAAAAGCCAAATATTTTGCCAATAGCCTCATTTTATAAGTGAAGAAATGGCCCAGAGAAGGTAAGTAACTGGTCCAAGGTCACACAGCAAATGAGACAGGAGAACTAGAAACCAAGTGTTCAACCCCTCTCTTTGGGTCTCCCTGAAAACTGATGGTTCAGCACCAGTTCCCTGTCTTGTGGCTTCTCTACCCTCTGCCCACACTGTCGCTGTCATCAACAGCACATTCCTCCCCTCACATACCATCTCATCCCCACCCAGGTTTGTCTGAACTGCATACTGGGACCACTAAAGTCAAGAACAAGAAGCATAATGCTGGTACAGCAAAGAGCATCCCCTTCCCTGACCCCATCTCAGGGGCTCCCAGGTTTGTCTGTCAACAGGCTTGAAAATCACGCACCTCCCCAACCCCAGCGGAAACCTGAGTGCAGAGCCTCAAGTAGACGTTGAGGACTGGCCCTCCTTGATAACATGAGGAACACAAGGTAGATCTTCGGATGGAAGAAATGACGAGAAAACTGGTACAGCGAAAAGAGGAGTGTGGACAGTGGGGCACCTCCCCCACGCACAACCCAGAAGCCCAGCAGAGGCCAGCGGGGAGCGGGGGTGGGGGTGCAAGTTGCTTTTCCTGAGCTCCTACCTCTCTCTCCTGGTACCGAATAGGTAAGGGGAGCAAGTTAGACCGCCACACCGTTGCCTAGGGCGAAGGCTGGGCTAGGGTGCCCCCCATCCTGTGCCGGCTCCCACACAGTCTCCAAGTCCAACTGGGACCCAGCCTGAGGCAGCTGGGGGTGGCAGAGCCTGGCAGGAGCCTCTTCCGCCCCTTAACAGAAATCTACCCCCCTGGAGTAATCTGGGGTCCCTATGACTCTCCCGAGGACCCACGGCTAGGTTCCCTCCACAACCTTCCCGGATGGACACAGGGGGCGCGCACCGTCTCTGTTTGGGGAAGTGGGGGGTCCCTGTCCACCTGCCCCTGACTTCGGGTGGACAGCATCTTCCTGCTCCGGGTGGGCACTTGCCCTGCCCGCGCGTCCTACCTGGAGGCGATGCGGAGCTGATGGCGCGCCCAGCCCCGCCGAGCAGCTGCAGCAGCAGCAGCAGCAGCAGCAGCAGCCAGACCTGGGCCCGCATGGTGGGCGCGGACGCCCCGGGCTGGGCTTGCCGTCCGAGCGGCTGCGAGCTGGGAGCGGGTACAGGAGCCGGCACCGAGAACCAAGCACCGCTCTGCGGTCCCGGGGAGTGCGAGAGGGCGGGCGGGGAGGGCGGGGCGCGACGCTGGGGTTCCCGCCTCCCCGAGCTCCACACGGCGCCTCGCGGGACCCGGCACCGCGCGGGGGCTTCGCCGGTCACCGAGCGAGCGCGCTGTCTCCCGCCTGACCAGCCCCGCTGCCCCAAAAGTAGCGGTAGGGGACTCCCACCAGGCGCCCCTACGTGGGCCATGGGAGTCCAGCCACCCGCCCCAAACCCGGGGACTTTTTGACCGGGTCCTCCGAGTTCTGGGGCTTTCTGCTGTTCTGAGGGCGCCACGCACACGCACATCAGGAATCTACTCCTGCAGCCAAGACCCCGCAGCGTCTGCCCCGGCCGAGGCCACAACTGCACCCCGCACTTGACCCCTCCGCACCCCATCTCCAGCACAGGTTCTCCCCCCACCCCCAGCCGGGCAGATATAAGGGGCAGAGGCCTGACACACTCCTGCTTTGAAGTAGTGGGGACCCCATCTTCCCAAGAAGACAGACCCAGTCACTCCTCAAAGCCAGCCCACTGCCACCACTTTCTACCCGGCTCTGGGAATAAAACATCTTTTTTTTTTTTTCCTTCCAGGAAGGAATAAAAATACCTACAATTTAGGAGATTTAATAGACGGCTGGGAATCAGGTCAGGGCGCGAAGGTGCTCGAGACCTACTTCATGGGAAGAACTGGGGCCCAGAGGGTGGAGAGGGCTGAGATCCCCTGGCTACGCCCGGCTGGAGACCGGGAGGCTGCAGAGGGAAGGGGGCTAAGGACTGCGCTTCACCCGGATGTCCCCAGGAGGGTGTGGGTGCGGACCCGAGGACCCGTGTGGGACCCGCGTGGGCTGGAGAAGGTGGGTGCTCTGGCATTGAGGCCAAAAGGGGGAGCGGCGGAAGGAAATGACCATGAAACCCTCCCTCACCTCTCAGAACCCCCGTTCCATCCCCCTCCAGCACCCCCAGACCTCAACCCTCTATGCGGTACAATATGGCGAAGCAAGGCCCGCAACTGGAGTCCTTTTTATTTTGAAACTGGGGCTGACACTATAGCCCAAGACGGGCCTTGAACCCACGGCTATCCTCGAGCATGCATGAGCTCACCCTACCCATCACACCTCTGAATTCTTAATACCTAACTCAAATTCTCCCGGACTGGCTGGGGAGGTGGGGGAGGAATGGGGCGGTGGGGAGGGGTGGTCTTTCCAGCTGCGGCCTGCTACCGCCCCCCAGTGGACATGTGATGAGCGACACTGAGCGCGACCTGCAGCACTCCTGCGCAGGCGCCGTGAGGGCCTCCAAGGCGGCCAAGGATGGACACGCGGCCGCACAACTCTGTAGCCGCACAGCTCTTGGTGATGGTATCCGCGTGCCCACGCTGCATCTTCTACGGCCTCTTGTTCCGGTTCGGGCAGAAGCAGCAGCACCTCGGAGGTTAAAAGCAAATGACATGGACATGTTTTTAACACATTCCGAGAAGCACTGCCCTAGAACTCTCCGATCCCTTATCTCCCTCATCGCTTCCCGACTGCCTGAGAGTTGGTGAAGGAAATAATATTAAAAAAGCGTGAGAAGAAAGAAAATCCCCTTAGGGGGCACCCGGATTTGAACCGGGGACCTCTTGATCTGCAGTCAAATGCTCTACCACTGAGCTATACCCCCTCTGCCAACAAGCTTGCGCCAATAGCTCCTTAGTGCTTCTTTTGCGCAGGCGCACTGATGCATTTCCAAAATTGGAGCGTGGGACTCCAAGTTTTCGAAAAATTGCAGAGGATTACTCTCTTGGAAGCAGGAAGTGCTTCCCGAAGCTGAGATGCTTATTCATGTTACGAGAAGATGCAATCCGCGGACTGGAGAAAGACGTCTTCGAGACCCTTCGGCATCCCGTGCTGCGCGGCGCTCGGCTGGGCCCGGGTCGTACTCTCCAGCCCCACCTGAACCGCCGGCTGCTTCTAGGCGTCTCTCTTTCTTCCACAGACTCACGCGGCTTCCCCAGCCTTCCGTCTCAGCCCGAGCTCGGCCCCTGGAAACTCAGCTGTCCCTAAGGGGGATCGTCGGGGTCCCCGGAACCTGGGGTGCGACCCCCCGCCTCGAACTCTGCCATACTCCAGCTGCTGTGGCGTCAGCGGTCCACCCGACCCGAGCCTCGCGCAGCATTCCGACCTGGAACACAGGTGGAGGGGACACAAGGGGTCCCGAAAAATGACGAGGGGGTCCTGAGGCCCTTTCCGAAGTCCCAGGTACGCCTGAGAATGACAGTTAACAAAAGGGACACAGTCCTGGAACTGCGAGGGGGCACCCGGATTTGAACCGGGGACCTCTTGATCTGCAGTCAAATGCTCTACCACTGAGCTATACCCCCGACATGCAAATGCCTTTCATCAGAATATATTTCTGTGGAATATAAGTGTGGCGGTGTCCACTATTCTTGATTTTTATCTGTTGGATCCAGAATAAGGAGGAAGAAAACATAAACAAAAATGGCTGAAATTCCCGAGCTTGTCCCCCATCATCACGTCTCAAGGAAAACACAAATTAAAGGATACTGAGTCCTCTGTATCTCTACCCAGACTCCCACAGATGTCCACTGCCTGCTTGAGAGGAGGAGAGATCTACTGTCCCCGGGACAGTTTTAGATCCCTGAGCAGCACAGAAAAGAGCAGCATGGGCCTGTAATCCGTCTCCGTCTCCACAAGACTCCTGGACTTTTCTATCGCCGGGGTCCCTACCCCAGTGAATCTCTATCAAGCCACTAGACCTAGGCAGAGCCGAGAGCTCCCGGTCCTGGCTTGCCGGTACCAACGCTCTGCAACCTGGTCAACCTGTTCTCTAGCCAAATGGAACCTGAGGCAGCTCCACCTCTCCCCGCCCCATCTTGAGGTGGATTTTTACAATATCTTTGCATAAAGATTAAAAGCCAGTTGGAAGAACAGATAGAAATAAAAATTTGCGATGGTGTTTATTACTTTTATTTTTAAAATCTTAATGTAATGTAAAAATAAAATCATGACACAAAGACAAAACAAGCAGGTCTCACAGGAATCTGAGATACTTGAAAGGACCCCAAAATCTGTGCTCAGGGACAGCATCTCAGAGGGAGTGGACCCCTCTCTGTCTGGGATGTCCTAGCCTCCTCCTCACCCTAACCCCCAGCTTTGGCCCTTCCCTCTGGCCTCTTTAATCCCCTTCTATAATCTCCTTTGTTCAAGGATTATAGAACTTTATAAAGATTTCTTGCTCTCCATTCCTACAGAGAATGAGGGCTAGGAGGGGCCTGATCCCTCAACACATCCAGAAATATCCCTGGTGTCTCCACACTCCTGCAGTGATGGCTGGGGAACATTTTCACCTGACACCCTGTCTGCAGCAACTCCAAGTCTGTAGTTTAGTTCCTGTTTGGTGGACAGTGGCCATCTCTCTGTCCATAACCACCCTGCTTCCACCAGAAAATCACTAGGGTTTCTCATCAGTGCTAACCATGCAAGGCTTCTGCCAAGCCTTCTGGTTGGCTTCAGGCTGAGACATTAGTTGGCAGTGGCCCAAGACTGCATCCACTGGAGCCCAGCTGGCAGCCTGCAGGGAGGGAGGAAGGGGACAAAGGATCATCAGCATTTCCCATAAGATGATGGCCTTAAAGCTCCAAGCCTCTGCCCGTGGCAGACTGAGAGCATAGCCAAGGTTATATTCAATCACTTAATGGTGAAAGGGAAGTGAGCTGAGTTCCAGAATGTATCCATGCTCATTGTGCTGGAGCCTGGGGTTCCTACAGAGAAGCAGACGCCCTCTGAAGCTCACAGTCTAGCAGAACAACTCAACAAATAAGGCTACAACTACACACTGCAATAAAGATCAGGAAAGTGTACAGAGCCCTCTGGGAGAAGGGATTCTCCACTGAGGAGGTAGCTTGGAGGCTCACCTTCCTGAGCCCCTGAGCAGTGTTTCAAGTTCCCCATGAGGTGGGATCCAACTCCAGAGCAAGGGAGGCTTGGTCATCTCCATCATCACCCATCCTTGCCTGGCCCAGGGCATGGCACATGGGGGCTCACAAAGTGCTATTGAATTGGACTGTAGATTGGGTGAGGAGAGTCCCTGATGGGGGTGGAGTGAAATCTTGGGACAAGCACATTGCCAGACATCTCTGATCTCTTAGATTCATTTCTCTAAAATCTCTTTTTGTTCAAAAAATTATGGGGGGAGGCGGTGGTTTCTCCAGACTTGATGTTCTTTTGGAGTAGTCTAGCCCCTCCACACCCTGTGGAGATTTGATCTAGGCACTGGGTTCATACTTGATCCTTACACAAAAAATTGTGGCTTTTTTCCACCTATTCCTAATCTCTCTTTCCCGCCTTTCTCCACCATCCTGGTTATCACTTTATTTCTTTGGATTTTGTTATATAGCCTAGTCTAGTCTTGAACTGACTATGTATTGCAGGATGCTTCTGAATCTAATCTTCTTGCTTTCACCTCCCAAGTGCTGGGATTAGTGATATGCAGTATCATACCCAGTTTATGTGGTGCTGGGCATCAAACCCAGGGCTTCATGCATGCTAGGCAAGCACTCTACACACTGAGCTATATCCCCAGCCCCAAGGCAGGAATTTTTGTCTAGTTTATTCACCACTGTTTCTCCAATGCGAGGTATCTGGTTAAAAGTAGGTATTCAAGAAAAATTTGATAAAGAAATCATGCCATTCATTCCCTGCAAACACTGAGGAGAAGGAACTATAATCCTCCTCTTTATAAGAAACTCAAGGTCAGAGAGCCACTGATTTCTGACTAAAAGGCTTGTCCCCCTCAGGTCTTTCTACAGCCACCTCCCCTTCCTTGGGGTCTCAAGCTATCCCTGGCCCTGGGTGTAAAATTAGACCCATGCCTGCCCCTCTAGCACTTATCCATTTTCACTTTTTTCATAGCATTTCTCCGTCTCTAAAGCCCCTGTTGTGGGAGCTTTAACCCTCATCATTAGAACAAGGTCCTAACATGCAGGGACTCTGTCTGCTCATAGCATCTTAGCTATGGGACTGTGCCCATCTTACTCAGCTTAGAGCTGACTGTGGGCCAGATTCTGACAGGAAGGAGATGGAAGAGGGGTTCTCATGGCCATCCACTGAGTAGAACAGGTGGGGTGAGGGTGTGGAGACTGACCCTTCCCCAGTGAGAGCGCAGCGGCCCTGGATTTGCCACAGGTGGTCTTTGATGGTGCTGAGCATAAGGGATTGGGAGATCTCTGCTGTGGTCATGCAGTCTTTCATGTCCTGCTTATTGGCAAAGATCAGGACTGAAGCATCTTGAAGCACCTGTGGGCAGAAAAGCACAGCCCAGGTCAGTGAACCAATCCAGTGTCCCCTCCCGTCTCAAGAATCCTTTGTGCTCCTTGCCCAGCTGTCCCAACTGTCTCAGCAAGAGTGACCCATGACCAAGCAGAGCAGAGAAGGGGGCCCATCTCAAAAGAACAGCCATATCAAATGATGCCACAGCTCATGGAATACCTCCCAACCAGCTCACAGGATGCTTTCAACCTCAGATCACTGGGGGGGGGGGGGGGGGGAATTTGTGGGTTTTGTTGTTTTCAAAACAGAGTCTCAGTCTGTAGCCCAGGCTGGCCTAAAAATCAATATAGAACCCAAACTGGCCTCAAACTTCATGGCAATCCATCTCAGCTTCCCAAATTGCAGGCAAGAGCCACCATTCTTATTCTGAGGTAGATACTGATAATCCTCGTTATTAGAAGCCAAGCAACTTGCCTAGGGTCCCTTGGTGAGTTGAGAGTGAAGTAATCCCTTAAACCAACAGCCCAGGCTGGCCTAAAAATCAATATAGAACCCAAACTGGCCTCAAACTTCATGGCAATCCATCTCAGCTTCCCAAATTGCAGGCAAGAGCCACCATTCTTATTCTGAGGTAGATACTGATAATCCTCGTTATTAGAAGCCAAGCAACTTGCCTAGGGTCCCTTGGTGAGTTGAGAGTGAAGTAATCCCTTAAACCAACAACTCTGGTTTCTGTGAACCAATTGTTCTAAGGGCACTGACCACACCCTTCATCTATAACAAAGTAGTCTTCCTCATGCTACAAAGATATAGCTTTCAGATTAACAGAGAAGGAATAAAGCTCAGAGAGGCTGTGTGACCAGCCTGAGGGCACACAGTTAGTCCCACTGGATAGCCTCCCAAATTCAGGGGACTTACCTCATGGGCCAGCATCTTATACAGCTCCTCCCAGGTGGTCAGCAGCCTATTCCGGTCTGTGCTATCAATCACAAGGATGACAAACTGCCCAGCAGGAGGGAGATGTAAGTGGCAAGTTGTCTCTTTGGTGAACATGTTTCCTACCCATGGTGCTGCCCATTGGCTTCTGCCCCGCCCATTAACCTCTGCCCCACCCCACCCCCCATGCCAACCCCAGAAAAAAGGAATGGTGCAGCCTGCATGTCTCCCAGGCTGATCCTATTTTAACTGCTTTCTTTTTTCTTTTTTTTTTTTTTTTTTTTTTTTTTTTTTTTTATTTTCTTCCTTGAATGCTAAGTCAAATCTCTAAAGGGGAAATACATAAAAAAATAACAAAGATCCACCTGCCTCTGCCTCCCAAGTGCTAGGATTAAAGGCCTGCACCACCACACCCAGCTGCCTTATTTTATTTTTAAATTACAATTATTTGTTTATTTGTATTTGGTAGGGTGTACTTGCCACAGAACAACTTGTGGGAGTTCTCTCCTTCCACCATGTGAACCCCAAGGATTAAATGCAGGTCTACAGGCTTCGTAGCAAGTGCCTTTACCTGCTGAGCCATCTAGTCAACCCTTTTTATTTTACTTTATCTTACTGAGACAAAGTCTTGGTGTGTGGCCCAGGTTGGCTTTGAATTCACTATGTAACCCAGGCTGGTCTGGAACCTGTGAGCCTCCAGTCTCAGTCTCCCAAGTTGTTGGGATTATAAACATGGGGCATTACAACCAGTTTATTTAAAAATCCTAACCACAGGGCTGGAGAAATGGCTCCGGGGTTCTTGCAGAAGACCTAGGTTCATATCCCAGCACCCACATGGCAGCTAACAACTCCATAACTCCAGTTCCAGGGGATCCGACAGCCTCTTCTGTCCTCTGTGGGCATTTCATGACACAGGTACACTTACCTCCATGCAGGCAATACACACATACACATAAAATAAAAATAATAAATTATTTTTAAAAAGTTACACTTAAAAAAAAAATCCTAACCATAGGCCCAGATGTGGTGCCGCATACCTTTTATCCCAGCATTTGGGAGGCAGAGGCAGGCAGATCTCTGTGAGTTCACGTCCAACCTGGTCTATATAGTGAGTTCCAGCCCAGCTGGGGCTACAGGGAGACCCTGTCTCAAAAAGACAAAATAAAAGAAAGAAAGAGAGAAAGAAAGAAAGAAAGAAAGAAAGAAAGAAAGAAAGAAAGAAAGAAAGAAAGAAAGAAAGAAAAGAA